TCGCCGGAAAGAAAAAAAAAAGTAAAAAGAAAAAGAAAAAGCTAAAAAGACGAAAATGCCCATGGATAATGTATATCGGGGTAAATGTGTCACAAATAACAAAGTTTGGGGTTTTTGGTGTCACAAAAAAAAGTTCGGGGTAAATGTGTCACAAGTGGGAAAGTTTGGGGTTTTTGGTGGTTTTTTCCCCCACATTGGACCAGGTTAACAATTAATTTACCCACCACTCCCGCCAAAAAATATCCTTGCCTAGAACCGTATCTATGCTATAAATGTAATCACAGTCGTTGATCAAATGAAATACGTAAAGTGGATGCCATCTGGGACCCAACACAACAACGATTGCTATTGATCCAGTCCATGTGGACCCGGGTCCCAGACATGGAAAATCCCCCCAGAGCATGGCATGTTTGAAAATTTCTAGGTCAATTGATACATAAATGCCTGTCTGTGGTCAAAAGTTTTTATATGGGCAATCTTATTTCAGATGGGCCAAATATTCCAAAAGAGGCAAAGATCTTTTATTCCTACGATGCTTCTCTTGATGTCTCAACAAATCCCGATATAGGCCTCATCTGTTTAGAACGGAAGCACTGTATGAGATAGATGATTCGTATCATTTCAAAAGGACTCGAGGAGGCTGCCCAAACATGCTTCTTGATTTTCTCTGCAACCCTCCGAAAACTTTCAGGCCCATCAGATAGTCCATTTGATTCTATTCCTTATTGTTTTCTAAACAATACTTAAAACGGTGTTCAAGGGCTTTACTAAACTAAACTCCCACTAACATTCTAAAATTAGGTTAAGACCAATTAAGTCTTTTTGCCAGTATTGTTTTTCCAATTCAACTCTTCGAACTTTTTAACAAAATCAAGTCCTCTAACATGCTTCATTTGTACAATCAAATTGCCAATCATCAGCATCAAATGAGCTTTAAAGAAAAAACATAATCTTTTCATTGTTAAATACTTGTTCATCTAGATTTAATATCAAAATATGAATATGTCATCATTAAAACGTTTAAGATTTGGTGACATAAAAATTACTTTATGAAATATAAAGAGAGAGCACATGCCTATCGTCTAGGTTGACATAAAAAATAAGGTCTCTCTCTACATGACGAGAGCGCCTTTGTCGGTAGTGCCGATGATGACTACCGCCTTCATCAACTTCACCTGCGGTGAAAGTGGCAACAACCATCGCCATCTTACCTCTTACATTGTAGTTAGATTTCAAAATGTCTAAATTGTATTAATATTACTGACCTTCTCACATACTCTTGAAAGGGTCAAAACTCACACTATAATGCGCATCAAATGTCTCTTAAGAATTATGAATGAGAAATACAAACGCGAATAGAAAAAGGAAAAGAGGCATCACTCTCTCCAAAGTACGTAAGGCACACTATGGAGGTGGTGGTGGATTTTGGCCCTTCAAGATCGGCTACCGTCGCTAATATGTCGAAGCAACTGGTGGAATACTGTTCATCCCGAACATCAATCCTCACACAACACAACTGAACGATGTGGAGTCATATGAGGCCCTCAAATTGTAACCCCCCACCGCCATTTCTCTTTTGACCCGAGTCCTCCCTCTCGCCCACTCTCTCCTTACGTCGCACCCATCTCCATAACAAACAGGGTGATGCAGCTGACAGACAATTTGCCACAAGTTTTTCTACGTCAAACAGGATCTACATCACCTGGTTTTCTCTTTTAATACACCAATTAGATCCTGTGAAAACTATGACTTTGACAAAACTTCGGTTTCATTAATTAGCAGGTTCTATAGGGCCCGTCTGTCTCTACTCTTCAATTGCATGTTGTCCTGTTTGATGGTCCAATGGCAAATTGGGAGTTAGCTCACCCATTGCCAATCAACATCTTTATCACTTTTTTCTTGTAAAAGAAATTATTTTTAGTATTGGGTTTAGGTTTCTTTAATGTCCCTATTCCCCGTTTTTTTTGGTCCGTATTTAATGTCCCTATTCAAAGTTAGTTTTTGTCTTTTAGGATTGATGATATCTCGCTTTGTACATTCTTACACGGCCTTTTGTTACTCTTCAAAAGGCTCTGACTAGGTGTAGCCCTCATCAATAATCAATGATAATCTGCCATACGACTTAGTATACCATTTTCTATATCAAATTCAGTATACAAAGCATTATTCCATGAAAAAAATTCAGCAAACCAAAATTTTACAAGCGGAACAAGTGAGCCGTCTAATTATACTTTGAACCAGATGTTTTTTGAGAAAGTAGCAAATGAGATAGTCCAACACTAGAGGAGATGGAAAGATTGGATGTTGTGCATACTTCATCATTTCTGGTTGTATCTACCAGCAAAGTGATCTATAGAAGGGGTGACTTGCTGAAAGCAAAGGGTCCTTTCTTTTGCATTGTGTTCAGATATTATTCTGGATTATTTTACGCACATTTGAATTCATTCCAAGTCCTTGGTGGGGCCAAAGTCAAGCCCTCAACGTTCGGATCACAAAATTCTCACATCTGATAAGAAATTGTTCAAAAGGTCATATATGTCTTCGACGGCATTTTAATCAGAAACCTCCTTGAGCAACCATGCAAGCCCTTATTTAGAACAAGTTCCACTTGAATGGGACATATGTGTCTTCACCGATGGGAAGAATTTCACTCTAGAATTTCATCAAGTAAGTAAATGGAACAAAATTCCGCCTCATTGCCGTGCCGTGTCTATGGAAAACCTTTGGATATCCGACATTCTCTATAAGAAAGACCTTATTTTTTTCTAGAGTAATGAATAGCCTCTTACCCTGTAACTGTCCAGTAATCAATTTAAAAGTCTTTCCCACTAGTTGACCGCATTTGTGATTCTTCCAAGGCTGTGGTACCCGTGCTTACCACTGTACATGTTTCGTTATTATATGATTGATACGTGCCTGATCGCAGAGAGTATTGGACTCCAACTGACTCTCCCCCTCCCTTTTTCAAGGAAGAAATTTTCGTTAACTTTTCGAGTCATTGCTCAATCTTTTCCTGGATTGATCACATTGGCATGCGTTGTGATTAACTAGGTGAAACGTGGAGTGTGAGAATAATACTGGATGCCGCAATGATTGATCGTGAAGTGTAAGGGGAATTCGACATTTATACAGAATCGGCCATGAGCATTTATGAGCTCCAATCTGGAAGAGCTTGAATTCATTATAATTGCTATAAACATTAAAAAAATATATCTCATGAAAAATGTTGATCTAATATGAGAGCTACTAATTCCATAAACCGAACACATTAATACATCGTTTCGGGAATCAATTTTTCATTTTAGTTTTAGTATCCCTAACATGACTTTGACTTCATACTCTTTTTAAACTATCTGAATTGTTACATTTCATAACTTTTTATACTAGCCATTTTTATTCACTCTTTGAAATATATTACACGACATCCATCTTAAGCCTCAAGTTCTAATTACGAATATTGATGACCCATTTCGAGTCCCTATCGCCGGTACAACACATTCAATTCTCTTTCATAAACAATTGAAGGCTCTAGTGGGAGGACAAAAACAAAAATACTAATTAAAGGTTGTTCACTACTTCTGCTCATGGACTCGGGTCGGACAAAAATTTCTTCTCGGAGCAAGGCATATCCGAAAGCCTCTAGGCTCATAGATACAAACTGTTGTGCAATCAAAAGTTTTATACAGGAAATTGTCATGATTTTAGATGGGCCAAAGAATTTCGAAAGAGGCAAATTTCTTTTATTCCAACGGTGTTTCTTTTGGTGTATCGGCAAATCTCAACCGTTGATATATGCCTTATCTATATAAATCAGCTGTTGAGATTTATTGAAGCATTGAGAGGAGTATTGTACGAGAGAGATAATTCATGTCAATTCAAAAGGACTAGACAAGCTAGCTCAAACCTGCTCTTGATTACTTCAACAACCCAACCATGCTTTTATTGAATTTTAAATTGGGTTGGACCACTTTTCACTCTTCACTTTTCACTCCGTTACCAGATTTCTCTCTTTGACCTATGATCTCCTTCCTATTTATTTTTTAGGAGAGTGAAGAGATTCTAGTCCAAATTCTGAAGTTAATAAGATGTATTCATATATAAAAACAAAGTATGACAGTTTGAAACTTTTTTCTCAAACTAACTGTTCCCCCATTTTCTTTTCTTCTTTTAATTTTCCTTTTCTCTTTCAACAAAAATCTCTCTTTTCTCCTATCTTCCTTTTCTTCAATTTTGGACCTACGCAAGTCCTTAGAAAGCTCAAGGGGAGACAGGAAAAAGGATTCCCCAGTATGTTGGGAGGATGTTTCCTGTAAGTTCTCTGCGTATTCCTACTCTCTCGAGACGAAAAACAACGGGAGGGAACTTAGGAGACATGGGAAGGGACTCTCCGTATTCCCTATTCCTCCATTTTCTTTTCTTCTTTTAATTGTCCTTTTCTCTTTCAACCAAAATCTCTCTTTTCTCCTATCTTTCTTTTCTCCAATTTACTTTCCCCCCAACTTCTTTTTCCCAAATACAAAAGGACAAAGAAAGTGCGGACTCGGGAGATCACATCGAAATCATGCACAATTCAAAACATAATAGAATATCTGCACTAAACTCGATTTGAAATGATATGTCTCTCATTCATATTTAATATTACTTTGAAGTTTTCAGGAAGGATGTTGGAAGTTTCAAAAATATTTGTTTCTCAGGAGTAAAGTATGTTGGTGGTTTGTCGTTGATGATTGATTGTTTGGCAATTGGGAAATATATAGATTCCTTTAAATTTTGAAGCCAATGGGATTAGAGATCAGTTTTCTTTTTGGTCAAAATTAGAGATGACTTTGAAGGCCACATTTGTTTTTCATTTAATTTTGCTGCACCTCTTTACAAATTAATCAAGAAGAAAATATTGCAACGGAAGATTTCATTTGCCTAAACTTGATTATCCTTCAGACTACCTATCCAAATTGGACCAACATGAAGAAGACTGAAAAAAGAGAATCATCACTTGGTAATGATAAATAAACAGCCAAATGTCCATCATTCAAAACATTTAAAGGGGGAAATGAGCACGTCTGAAAACAGGAGGAAAATCATCAATAACAACAATCAACAACCAATCAAAAGACAATTATCGAGCATCAGCCATCAGGAGAAAAACCACAAAATGGAAAAGAAGAATTATTGAGAGGGGAGGCAATGGGAGGGTTCATTTGTAGTTGCCGAGCGCGGAATATACGGTCTGAATTATGGTGAGGGTGAAAAGGAAGAGGGCGGCGATGAGAGACAATATAGACCAAGGATTCCTAAAGTAGGTGTGCTTGAGATTAGCCCTCCACATGTTCCAGGGCTTCTCGCAGTGTTCGGTGATCTTCTTTTGCACAGATTCGTCACCGTTGTCGAGAAAGAGCGTCATGTCCTTGGTCAGCGAGTTGAAAAGGTCGGCGACCTCCTTGTTGCACCCGAGGAAATTCTGGATGATGCCCTGCGTACGGAGCAGCGCGATGTCCCGCTCGGTGTCGATCATGTTGTCCATGAAGAAGATGTAGGCCGTGACCTTGTTCCCGGCCCTAAAACGGAAGCGCTCGAACGTCATGAGGTTGAGGAACATGGGCCCGGTGCAATCGTCCACCATGATAACAGGGAGCCTCAGGACCCCATCGGCAAAGGAGATGTCCTTGACGCTGCGAGTCTCGCTCTTCTTCAATTGGATCCCAGCCTCCTTCAGCTCAGTGGCCGACCGGATTATCTCCTGGCCCTTCTCACGCCTCACGCAGTCCAGGTTGAGCAGGTCCCTATTGGACCTTTTCTCGAGGAGCAGAAGGTTCTCCCTGAGGACGTCCAAGACGTGTAGGCATTTGCCCATTGGCGCGATATACGTGCTGTGGGGGTAAAAATTGAGGATGAGCCAGTTGACGTAATCTTGCCCCTGCATTGTTGGAGTAAATTTAGTGTGTTGAATATTTTGAAAATGTATCTTGAGTTTGAGCCCATAAAGTTATTGGCTTATAATTGAGGGTTGGAAAACACTATAAGTGTTTCAGTGACTTGAGTGTAGTTGTAATTTTCAATATATCGTTGTATCTATAGTGGAATTACGTGTTGCTCTCCCCGCGAAGTTGGTCACACTGATCAAATCACGTAAATCCAATGTTCTATTTATTTTCTTATTCTGCTTATGGTTGTGTACAATCCCATGTTTTTTGCAACAATTAGTATGAGGTCCAAGCTTGGCTGAGTTGAGCAAATCGATGGCGACAGAAGAAGGAAAAATGAAAATTGATAGATTTGATGGGGAGGATTTCGGATTATAGAATATGCAAATTGAGAATTACCTATATCAAAGGAATTTGTACATACCCCTCTTTGAGGAGAAGCCAAAGTGGATGAAGTAAGCTAATTGGGTTCTAAAAGCTAGATAGGTGTTGGGTATCATTCGACTATCGTTGACCTATAAGATCGCGTTTAACATCGTGAAAGAGAAAATGACTACAAGATCGATGAATGCCTTATCGAACAAGTATGAGAAGCTAGAGGCGAAGAAGCAAGCTGATTGGAATTTACTGGATAGATAGGTGTTGGGTGTTATCTGGCTGATGTTGGCTAGTAATTTCGCAATTAACATTGTGAAAGAGAAGACCGCTACGAGATTGATGAATGATTTGTTGAACATGTACAATAAGCCCTCTATGATCAACAAGGTCTACTTGATGCAAGTTTATTTCATTTATAGATGGGCACAGGTGCGTCGGATGCTAAGCATATCAATGAATTCAATTTGGTCATCAGTCAATTGAGTTCGACCGAGATTGACTTTAATGATAAGGTACATACTTTGATTATATTATTCTCATTATTTGATGTTGAAATACTACTATTACTGCTATTAATAATACCTTTTTCTCTAGAAGCTTGATATGTGATAATGTTAGCAATTTGATTCTAAGTGAGGCATCCGTAGAAAAGAATTTAGTAAACCTATGACTGTTGATTTAGTAGGTGAAGGTGGAGGAAGATCTAATACTTTGTTAGCAGGATTAGTGTGAACCCAAACAAACAAAGTTAGTCTAGGATGTGTGGTGTTATCTTTTGAAATTGTTATAAAAGGGGGCATCTCAAAACAGATTGCCTTAAGCTGATAAATGAGAAAGGTAAAAGAATTAGATTGAATCTACTTATGATATTACTGCAATAGCTGAAAGTGTCACGAAAAGTGATTATTATATCTTCTCTACCGCTATGAGTTCGCTATTTGACGGATGGTTATAGATTCTGGATGTTCGTTTCGTGCTATACTAAACAAGCACCGGTTTTACTACTTATTAGTGAACAAATAGTGGTAGTGGTAAAGTGCAGTTGGGGAACAATGTAGAGTACGACGGTGTTATGGGTGTTTTTAGAATTAGAATGCATGATGGTATCGTGAGGACATTGACTTGAGTGAAGTATGTTCCAGAGTTGAAGGAGAACCCCTTTTTCTTGAGTGCCCTAGAATCATCTAAGTGTCGATATTTTCGAAAGGTGGAGTTTTAAAGGCCGTTCCAGATGTCTTGGTGATCGTAAAAGGGATCAAGCACAATGACCAGTATGTGCTTCAATAGGTGACGGTGACCGGTTTTGCCGTGCAGACGTCGAATACATCTACTCGACAGTTTCAATTGTGGCATATATGTGTGGGACACATTAACAAGAGAAGCCAAAAGATGTCGATGAAAGAATATGCTATGTAGTTATGTGGCTAAGGAGCTGAATATATGCAAGTGCTGCAACTTAGACAAACGGTAGATAGTGTAGTTTAGTATGACTATTAGAAAACCACAAAGATTATAGAGTTGACTCATTCAGATATTTGCAAGGCGTCGCGATTATCTTCGAGGAAGAGTGTTAGATTTATGCTGAGAGTGATGGATGACTACTCGAGGAGCACCCGAGTCTTTGTGCAAAGGCATAAGTTTGATGCTATTGTCAGAATCAGGCAATTGAGAGCTTTAATAAAACAGAGATTCGTAAGAAGATCAAACATATTCAAACTAACAGTAGTATAGAGTTTTGTTCGAAGCTATTAAATAAATTTTGCATGAAGAAAAGCATAATGAGACACAGTATTAGTGATAGTGAACCACAACAACTTACAGAGTTGATCAACAGAACATTGCTAGGACCCATAAAATACTCTCTAATGATGATATGGCTAGGAAATTTCTGGCGGATGCACTTAGTACTGAAAGTTACCTGATGAATGGATTCCTATCGACTGCAATTGGAGTTCAGACTCCCGAAAAATGTGGTTAGATGACATTGCTAATTATTTTGTTCTTGAAATATGTGATTGTCCATTCATGTTCGAGTGAGTTATGTTAAGCTCGATGAGAGGGTAAGAAAGTGCATGTTCCTAAGCTTTGTACAAGGTGAGCGGAGTTATCAATTGTGGTTCTCGAGATTAAATTCACCTATTACCAATAAAGAAGCTACATTTGATGAATCTCCAATGATTTTGCATATGAGTGATTGTGGCAGTATTTATAAGGATTTGAACAGTGTTTCAACTCAAGGTGAAGTTGCAACTAGAAACTCCTAAAATATATGGGTGATGGGAAGATCTCTCTAAGATAATATTTATTTATCTTTATTAATTGATAAATGCAAATATTGTCTATTAAAGGTAATGTTTTTATAAAGAATACTTTGTTGGTCTTTGAATAATAGTGAAAGACAACTAAAAGCTAGATGGAACTTGCTAGAGGGTGACCAAGTCTAGGAGAACCAGGCGATCGTGAAGACTTGGAGAGACAATGATAAGGTGAACAGCTTAGTGAAGTCTTGCACTAATATAGAAAGACCAATGGATAGCAGTTCGTAAGTCGATCTCTAGCGGGCAACTTAGATTAGGCTCACTGGATCGTTCATAAAGATAGCTCTCTCTATATCAACTATATCTATGACATTCATTGTGTTATATGAATACAAAGACCCAAACCTCTTTCCAGTTTAATTCTAATTGGTATATAACGGTTAGTCACAAGTTCTTTAATTCACGAAAGAAGAATCGAAGACTAAATCAAATCAATTCATTCCTATATTGCTCACTCAATCATAGGACCGGAAGATTGACAAAATACATATTCAATTTAAAGAAACTTTACATTTCCCAAGAAATTTTATTGTATGGACGATCAGGTTTTCAGTAATTGTATTCATCAAATTCAAATGACTAATTGATCTTCTTGAATATTCTCCGACGGCTAAATTAGAGATTGAAGGTTTATATAAGAGAATCAAATCAAGCTAAAGGGATCGAAGGAAAAGTGAGAAAGCTACAACACTGATAGTCACGTTCTCTTTGATTACCGCAATCGTGCCTCTATTCACTTGTGTTTCACTCTATCATGAGTTCTTTTTGACTATTATCTATGATTAAAAAGTGTATAAGTGTGATAACAGTGCTTGTGTTCTGATTTTGGGATCTATCAGCTGTGGGTAGAAGCAACTCGTGTTATGTTGCAACTACTCACCAGGCTACTAGTGAATTCGAGTCCTGTTGGTAGTTGTTAGTCCGGGAGAGTGAAAAATTAGCTCCACAATCGGTATCAGAGTTTCATTGCTTGCTAAATTGAAGTGCTTTTCTTATTAGCATAAAGATTTGGATTATGGCTAACATTATTGGTGCAAGTTTTGTTGAAGGAGAATCCACCACAAGACCTCCATACTTTGATGGGACTATACAGTTACTGGAAATGTCGGATGAGCGTCTACATTCAATCAACGGATTATACAATGTGGAACATCATTGAGAATGGTCCATATGCTGCTCAAATTGTGACAATAGTTATTTCAACAATATCATCTCGAAGTGAAAGCCAAACAGAATAAACAACACCTCCAATGGCTACAATCACTCCAGAAGAACAGAAGACAAACTCTTAATGCCTAAGCTTTACTTGTTTTCTACTGTGCTTTATCTCCGGCTTAATTAAAGCGTGTTTTTTCATGTAGTACAGCCAAAGAAATCTTGGATAGACTTGAAGTTGTCTTTGAAGGAATTGATAGAGTTAGAAAGACCAAAATGATAATTTTCTGGGAATATAGGAATGTTCAAGATGAAACCAGACGAGACAATCACACAAATGTGTATGAGGTACACTGAAATCACCAATTGTCTTGCCTGACAAGGAAAGGTATATACTAGTGTAATGAATGCGAACAAGTTACTAAAGGTACTCCTAAAGAAATTGAGTCACGTGAAGATATCAATTCGTGAAACGTTGACAATTCAACCACTATCACTGTTATGTATTAACTGCTTACGAAATTATTAGTGAATTTCAGTCTTGTTTTTTTTTTTTTTTTATGACCCAGGAACCCCCCGCACGGGCGACAGCCGGAGGGGTAAACCTGGGGTGACGCTAGCGCAGGACCCACCACCACGGCGCCACACTTAAGAATCCCTAACGACTACGCTGGGGTTTGAACTCCGATCCCTTCGTGGGGGGACAAGAGCGCAAGCCAATGCAGCTGCTGCGGGCGGTGGTGAATTTCAGTCTTGTTGGTGGTTGTTAGTCTGGGAAAGTGGGACGTTAGACTTAACAATTAGTATCAGAGCTCCGATGCTTGTTGAATTGAAGTGTTTTATCTATGAGCATAAAGATTTGGATTATGGCTAACAGCATCGGTCCAGGTGTTGTTGATGGACAATCCACCACAAGACCTCCATACTTTGATGGGACTAATTACAGTTACTGAAAACGCAGGATAAGTATAGATTCAATCAACGGATTATTCAATGTGGAACATCATTGAGAAATGGTCCATACGTTGCTCAAGACAACAGTATTTCCAACAGTATCATCTGGAAGTAACAGCCAAAGAGAGCAAACACCTTCAATAAGTACAATCACTCCAGAAGAATTGACCAGAAGACAAACTCTTAAT